ACATGCAGAACAATCAGAAGTTGCAAGAGGCCAGGAAGGATTCTTTGCCAGAGTCTTCCAGGGTGCACCACTTACCAACATCTTGATTTTATTTTATTTTTTGGATTTTTTTAATCTCAATTTTAACTTTATTTTTTTAATTAATTTTTTTTTACATCGTTGTTCATTTTTAAACAATCTTTGCTTCCCCCGCCCCCTCAGGTGTAGTCCCCATAGAGTTTCCTTCCCCAGTGCACCCGTGCACCGTCACCTCAGTCCCCTGTGCTCCTCCCTCCCTCCCTCGGATCCCTCTCCCTCCTCCTCCCCTGCAGGATGTCTCTGATTTATAATTGTCCATTTTTGCTTTGTTGTGTTTTGTACTGTTATTATTTTTTTACTCTCATATCTTATTGGGTTCCCCTATATTCCTGCTATAAGTGAGACCATCCGGTATTTTTCTTTTTCCTTCTGGCTTATTTCACTGAGCATAATTCCTTCCAGCTCCATCCACGTTGCTGCGAATGGCATGAGTTTATCTTTTTTGATTGCTGAGTAATATTCCATGGTGTATATGTACCACATCTTCTTGGTCCAGTCATCTATTTTTAGGCATTTGGGTTGTTTCCAGGTTTTGCCTATTATAAATAGTGCTGCGATAAACATAGGGGTGCAGGTGCTCTTTTGAATCAATGTTTTTGTGTCCTTTGGGTAGATCCCTAGGAGTGGAATTGCCGGGTCATTTGATAGCTCCATTTTTATTAGACTGAGGCACCTCCAGACAGCTTTCCACAGTGGTTGAACAGTTTGCACTCCCACCAGCAATGTAGGAGAGTTCCTTTTTTACTGCATCCTCGCCAACATTTGTTGTTGCTTGTTTTTTTGATATGTGCCATTCTTTTTTTTTTTTAATTCTGTATTTTTTTTAAGATTTATTTATTTATAAAAGCACTGGGGTACAGGCCAGAGGCGCGGGAGTGTGAGAGGATTCACCAGAAACAGAGTGGGGAGCAGAACAGGAAGAGTGACGGAAAACACTGCTGAGAGGAGCAGCAGGCAAGACAGGAGAGGCCTGCTGCGCCATGTGGGAATCTCCCTGGCCGGCCGGAAATCAAACCAACGCTGCAGAGGCTGCAGACAGCTTCACAGCGCTGTGCTCAACCTGCTGCGCCACCAGGGAGGCCCTATATGTGCCATTCTTACTGGTGTAAGGTAGTATCTCAGTCCAACACCTTGATTTTAGATGACAGTCTCCAGAATCGTGAGAGGATAACTTCCTGTTGTTTTAAGCCACCATACTTGTGGTAATCTGTCAGGACAGCCCTAGAAAACCATGTAGTGCAGAAGAACATTTGAATTCAGCGTGGGCCTTGGAAGTTGGTGTATCTATGGGCCTCGATGGGGATGGCCACTGGGCAGCTGGACCTGTGAGAGAGCAATGGGGGTCGGAGATGTCCATTTGTGAGGCATCCATACAAAATTCTTCGGGAAAATTCAAGAGCAGAGACAATTCCAGAGAGGGTTTGAGCCAGAAAGTAGAGTGAAAGACAGTCCTTCCAACGTGGGAGGGACCACCCACATGGACAGGATGAGGGAGGGAAGAAGAAAGGCTGAAAAGGAACTGCTAGGAGGGGGGACTGCTCCTATGGGTCAGTGGAGAGGTTTCCACAGGGTGTGACAAGGAAGCAATCCTGATTGGAAAATTGTTTGATAATCAGTCATTTCCACACCGTATTGTGCTGGTTGAGAAGAGGTGGGCGGTGAAAAAGTAGAGGCAGCCAGAACTGACTGCTCTCCTAATAGAGTATGATTGTGAAGACAGGGAACTGATATTGCTTGTAAGATGAAGGAAGAAATATAATCGAGGGAACTTGATGCTGATTTATTTCTTCAGAATAAAATACTTTTCATTCTATTTTGGAATTGTAGGGAGGAAATAGGGAGCGGATGCAAATAACCAACAATCCACGTTTCCAGAGAAAAGATTTAGAAATATTTTTACTGTGCACCTACTCTGTGTCAAGTAAACACCTGGGCTGGTTTTTACTTGAATGATCTCCTTGATCTTCTCAACACTCCTGCGCAATTAGAAGGATTGTCCCTATTCTATAAAAGGGGAAGCTGAGGCTGGGAATGGTGAAATCATTTTCTCAAGTTCAATCCATCTCATGTATGAGCCCCAGTCTGTGGCCTCTAAAGTCACAGTTCTTTCCATCATTGTATTTTCCACTGCAGTAAAGAAGGCAGTGTCCTTTTCTGATTCACAGAGAATAAGCAGCACAGAGAAATAAGCAGATTTGCTATGGCGGGAAGGGAAGCTGAAGGTGTTTCTCTGACAATCTGTGTCCTTATTAAGCTGTGAATCCAAATTATCAGCTGCAAAGGACAATGAGTAAAGCCGGGCACTGGGTCTTAGAGTGAAAGAGGTTGAGTATAATCTCCATGGATGGCTACAATAGGAGGCCAACCAGGGAGAAATAAGAGACCTTGCTTGACAGTTATGGCTGCACTAGGGTTAGTGGAATGGATTTCTAGGGAAAGTTCTAATCTGCATGGTAGAGTCAGAAGTTTATCTCAAGATGGACATCTAGCCAGAGAGATTTTGGTGACAGCTCTGAAAACACCCCCAGTAATAGATCCTTCTGATTTAACTTGAGACACCACACAGGCTAGGGCTCCAAGAACCACCATCAGCTATCCCAAGGGATTATCAGTCCCAGCTGCTGCTGAAGAGAAAAAGGCTGATCAGTGTGGAGTTGACTATCTGATCCCAAGCCTCCCTCCATCTTGCTGAAGCAACGTGTCCTCCCAGCCAGGGCTGCCGTTCTGATCTGAAAATAACCCAAGTCCTTAACTCAAGAATAACATCTGCTAATTTGCATGAGAGTTTCACATTGCCTAATTGGGTTTAATACCCAAATGTTGAAGTTCACTTATTTGACCTTAGTTAAGTGGTTTAGAGTTTCGACCAATTAAAAGCTCCTTGCAGGGTTCCACGCTGACGCACCCAGACCCAGCTCCCCACCTTGGGTGGCTGTTTCTTGCCACCAGTACAGTGCACTAGCTGAATGGACCCTCATGTGAATTATGGGTTAAAAAGGACAAATGAACTCTCCTGAAAGCTTGTTATTTCTAAAAGGGTCTCTTGGAGGGTGCATCTCCCCAAGATCACAGGTCAATTGAGAACTCTGCCATGGGGCCTACGACCTCCAGGGTTTCAAGTCACATGGAACTGCCCCTCCTTGGAACTCCCTGGAACTGGGTGTGAGGGCAGCAGTTATGGAGTGAGAGGTTGGAGAGGAGACAGCAAAGAAGGTGTTAATGAATAATCACAGGGCCTCATTCTCCATAAAGGCAATTAAAGGGATTGATTGTTTCCGTGTTTCCTTAGTCACGGTTCAGCTTGCCTGTTTCACTCGGATTAAGACAGATGAATGCCGAATGCACACAGGCATGTGATGTCAGGAGAATTATCGATGGCACATCCCAGGCCTCTCCCTGCTTGTACAGATGCCAAAAGGGGTCACAGTCACGGTGGGGTGAAGCCCATGGTGGGTATTTTGGACTTAGGAATTTTAGACAATGCACTCTTTCCATTTGTGAGGTGGCTTCCCAGCTCATGTCTGCATCAGCAACCTCTGGAGAGCCTGTTAAACACAGCTGCCTGGGCCCCGCCCCCAGAGCTTCTGATTCAGAGGATGGGTGTTGGGCTCAAATTTGCATTTCTATCGAGTTCTAGGCTGTTGTTGGTATCCTAGGTTCAGAGACCCCACTTTGAGACCCACAGGGCTGGTGATTAAGAGCATCAACACTGAGACCAAGCTACCAGACTTTCCATCCCACCTCTGATGCTCACAAGCTGTGTGATCGTGAGCTACTGACTTAACCTCTCTGCTCCTATAATCTTTAAAGCAGAGCTGCTCATAATAGTACCCACTTCATGGGATGGTGACAAGGGATAAACAAATTAGAATTTTGAAGTACTTGGACCAGTGTCTGCTGCAGAGTACGTGTTCTGTTGACTCTTGGGACTGTGAACATATCAGCCTGCACCTCATTTCTCCAATACCTGCAGCCCCCATGGAGTTGCTGGGTCATTTTACCCATTAGTCCTCAATCCCTTCTCTGGTGACAGTAATGCCCAGCTCAGTGCCAGCAGGAGGGAGATTACATCAACATCCATCAAAATCCTCTTCTTGAACTACCTTAACACTTAAAACCTACTGAATGTGTTGACTGTGACTCAATAAGCTGGGGACATTTGGGCTGTGCTGCATTTGGGGCTTCTCTCACCTGTGCAGGCAGAAAAGAGGGGCTGCCTCTTATGGTCAAGTTCAGCTGCAGCTTCACGCTGATTCTGTCATCTGTTGAATGTTTACTCGGGCAGAGCACTGCATGTTTTATACACATGATCTTATTTAACCCTCACCCTGGCACTATTAGGTAAGAATTATTACCCGTTTTCTCATTGCTGGAGCTCAGAAAAGTTAAATGACTTGTCCAAAGTCACATAGATACCAAGGGACAAATGCCAATTAAAAGCCAGGTCTCTCTGACTTCACTAACTTGTGGTCTTAAAGTTTTACTATGCCATTGCTATGAATGGACATGAATATTTATGGGGATGCATGTTTATATGAATATATGAATATTTTATCAACATTAAGGGTGGGTGCTCAGGTATCCAGCAGTGCCTGCTTTTTACCCAAGGTAAGCACCGTAAAAGTAGGATTGCCTCTGTTGCAGGAGTTTGCCTTAGGAAAGCCCATATTGGGGCTCACATACTCCCCTTGGAAATTGCCCTTAGTGACTTGCTTCCATGACTGGTTATTCTCTCCAGCCTGCCTTCTGGAAGGAACTGTGTGCATGTTACCCATGGTGGCTTGTCTTGCCTGAATTCAGATCTTAACACCTCTGCTCGAGCCCAGTGCTTTCAACTTGTGGTCAGGAGAGCACCCAGAGTTACTTTGAAGATGCGAAGAGAGGAAAATGTTATGCTAATGAAACTATTGTTTTTCTCATAGTGTTCCTTTCTGCCGAAATTCTCCATCCACATAGAAACCAAGTATGAGGACAACAAAGGAAGCAACGACAGCGTGAGTACCCAACTTCTGCCCCAACCGTGTCCCCGGGCCAACCGCGGCCCTCGGGTGGCCGGCCAGTAGCAGGGTCTGTGCTGGGACCCCAAAAGTCTGGCCTTTGGTTTCTGAGAGCCGTTCCCCTGGGATTTCTCCCTGGATTGATTTGTTGTCTGGCGTTTCTCCCTTCTCTTTTTTACATGCTTCCCATGCACCTTTATTCAGGAATCTCTGTGACCCCAAGTGACGGTCACAGGAGGTTGAGAGGCTGGTGGGGACCGTGCAACTCCTGTTTTTGGTTTCACTGGAGTTAAGTGCACATCTTCTCGATGACTGTTGACACTTATGTAGGAACCTGATACAGTGGGGTATGTGCGTGGCACACTGAGAGTATTTTCTGTACCGTGTTGACATTTGCATGTAGACCCGTGAACACACACAGCCCACCTTAAAATCTAGGCGCACTTCTCCTGCAAGGCCTTCCGACTCTTAAATTTCAAGCACTTGTTTTGTTTACTAGTATTGCTCGTAATCCATCTTCTGACCTGTCTTTTACCCCAGGCTTCTGCTGCCGGGACATTTCTCCCTTCTCTTTGGTAATGAAGGCTGTGACCTACCACAAGCCTCACCCCAAGACTGGATTCCTTCGAGAGCCATCGAGGGGAAAACCTGGGTCTAGATGCTTCAAGGCTTCATCTGCTAATTCTTATCTTATTTGCATCTGTTGCATCTGTGGAGAGAAAGATGGGGTCTATGTCCAAATGAAGGGGAACGGTTCCTGCCAAAGTGACCCTTCATGACTGAATTGCTTTAACTTGTACAATCTGCAAAAGTGGGGGAAGGTTAATATCTTTTAGTCCTTCCGATCAAATTCCCTCGCCTCCTCTTCCTCTGTGACTCTGTCCTCATGAATAGTTAAAAACTGCTCCATTTGTAGGGGTGCAGAGAGGACACACAGCCCCCCTGCGATCCCTAAAAGTCAGTAGGACCAGTGGGATCCGTTTTCTCCTCTGCTCAGTTCAAATAGTTCAAAGAATGCACATCGTTACCATTTATTACTTTATATCCCTTTTTGGCAGGTTTTAAGTTCCTTTCACTACTCTCCTTGAGCGCTCCCAGAAATTTAGCTTTGTCACTACTCTCCTAGGAATTTGAAATACCAGGCTTGCCACCCTGAAGCCGGGACGCACATTCAGAGTCAGCACCCTTTGTTCATGCCATGGGCCGGGCCTCTCTGAGACTCAGGTCAGCCTTCGAGAGGAGCACCGATGCCGTGTGCAGGCCTGTGCAAGCAGCTTGCTCCCTCTGGGACAAGTGCCCTCTTGTGTTCTGGGTTCTCTCCTTCTCCCCAACTTGCTGACTCTGAGATTCCCCGGGGACCAGCTCCTTATCCCTCCATCACAGCCCCCAACTTTCTCAAGTCCAAGTTCAGCCATCTTGTTACAGAAAAGAGGCCCTGACCGTGGTTCTGCTCATGTTCCCATCCCAGCCTCTGACTGGTTCTGCTCCACATATGCCCAGGTCCTGCCTCTGAGGCCACCGGAGCAGACGGGCCCACTCAATCAGGCATCTTCTTTTTCAATTTGCCTTCCTCCAATTTACATATTCAGCAACAGCTGGTGGTCACCCAGCTGGTTCAAAGTTGGTCCCAGGGAGGCAGAAAAGGAAGACTTCATTGATTTTCATTCACACTTGTTAATGCCTCAAAATCAGGACATGAGAAATATGTTTATGCAATAATGCTTTAATGATTAAAACATAGCTTTGTCCAAGGACTCAAAACTAGAGCCTTAAGCAGATTGTGTGTGTTGCTGGCTTGTTCTCTTTCTGTCCAAGGATAAGTAAGGAGTTTTTGGTGGGAGGCAGAGTTGCTAAAGAAAGCAACACCATAGTGGATATTTCTCATCTCGCGCTTTGCCAAATTATTTAATAAACCCAGTTCATTTCTTTGCATTTTCTGGGTGCATAGTTTTATCATTCAGCTACCATTTTTCATACTGTTATCTGTACCCTGCATCCTCCCCTACCTGCCAAAAATTTAATGAAATTGATGATGATAAGAAGCAATCATTAAATTGAAAGACACTAGTGGTAATCATATTGATTAGTGATTGAACAGAGTAGTGTTATTAACCTATTATCAACCGCCATATAAGTACTATTTTTACATACCCCGAAATCTAGTGAAAAATAAATAGCAGTGGTAACCAGATATAAACATCTCCTCTTTCTTGTTAAAATAAAACTGGTATATTTATGATTGCAAAAACCTGTAAACGTTGATTACATTAACCAGGACACAATGAGAAGTTGTGTCCTAAAATGAGGCCCATTTATTTCATGCACATACTGATGAGAATTATTTAGGCCTTAATTAGTACTGGGGAGGATGGCACCATGCCAAGGTAAGGTCCTGTTGTTTGTCCAAGGCCATAAATCTAGATCTGGGAGAGCCGGTGCTTAGCATTCGTGGGACAGCTGCTGCCAGGTTACTGTCGTTCAGCGGGGTTAATGGGGGGCAGCCCTGCCTTTCCTTCCTCTTCCAAACAAAGCAGGCACCATTGAAAACTGTTGTTCGCAACCTTGGCTGCACACTGGACTCACCTGAGAAGTTTTAACAAGGGCTCCTGCCTGGGTTCCCGCCCTCCCCCCGGGATTCTGATTTAATTGGTTCTGGGTACAGGCTGGTCTAAACCCCCCACCACACTTGAAGGCTAGAAAACCCTCTGGGGACTCTAGAGTATGTGCAGCTTTAGAGAATTCATCCTCCAGCTAAATCTGATATGTTCTCTTTGGGGGGCAGAGGATATGTCATCCCTACCCCATTCGAAGGTCTCAACCAATGTTTCTCACTCATGGCTGCATATTAAAGACACCTGGGACATTCAGCAAACTGATGCCATCATCCCTGCCCCGGGTTTCTGGTTTCATTTGTCTGGGCTGGGGTCTAGGCATTGGGATTTGTAAAGCGCCCCTAGGTAAATCTAAGGGACATCAAGGCAGAGAACTACAGATTTACAGAAAATATTAAATGCTATTTTAAAGCAAGTATGAACATTCAGGAAGTGGGACTCTCCAAATCCCTTCATACCCCTGCAACTAGAACAGCTTACAAAAAATATGTTTATAACCACCACCCCCACCCACACAATGAAAGGGCCTTAGGGCTCCATATTGGTTCTTGTTAGCCACTATTTCTCAGCAATGACACGCCTTCTGATCACATGGAAAGAATGTCCAGTTTAGTTCCTGGAAGCGTGAGACTCTGTCCTTCACAAAGCTCTCCTTGGAGGTTGCTAAAAGAAGTATTTGGAATTTATTTCATTTCTACTTCAGCTGTGTTGTAATGAAAGAACACAGAGTTGTTCTTTGTGAAACAAGTGGATCGAGAGTGAAATCCCAGTTCTGTGACCTTAAGCAGCAGATTATTGGTTTCTTTATCAAGAAAACAGAGTAAAGATCGCTCGTGCCCCTGCATAGAGGATCCAGACAGGTTAATTTCCCTGGAAGCATTTAATAAACCTTAAAGGACTATACAAATATAAGGTGTTGCTGCTGTTGCAGTCATCACCTTGGGGTTAACTGGGTTTATGATGATTTTTTAATGAGACGCTCCTTTTGTCTGATTGTCAACAAGCCATTTTTTGTTCAACCAATTTGGAGTTCCTGCTATGTGCCAGGAATTCCGAGAGGCATGGAGGATACAAGAAGAGAGAACTGACTCCACTACTGAAGACTTGGGGAAAGCAGATAACAGCAAGTAAACAGGAAAGAATCCCAGCTGTAGTAAGTGTTAGGAAGGCAATCGAGAAATAGGATGGGAGGGGCTGGTTGAAGCCCTGTTCAGGAAGTGACTCTTGGACGAGGTGACAGGTCCTTGTGAGACCTGAGGATGGGAAGGAATCAACTGTTAGAGGAGTCACAAGGGCAAGGGAGCTGTAATGAGCTGAATCTGTCCCCCTCACCCCAAATTCATATGTTGAAGTACCTCAGAATATCATGGTGTTTGGAGGTGGGGCCATTAATGTGGACACTTATGCAGTCTGACTGGTGTCGCTAAAAGAAGAGGATGCTGGGACACTCAGAGACTAGGGTTGTAGAAGCACAGCGGGAAGACCTTGCAGGGACCCAACAAGGAGACCGCCATCTTCAGGCCGATAGGCAAGGCCTCAGAAGAAATTCAGCTGACGGACACCTTGATCTTGAATGTCCAGCCTCTAGAAATGTGAGGAAATAAAATTCTATCATTTAAGCTATAGTTTTTTGTTAGATACTATATGGTCCAAGCTGGGTGTTTTGTTTTGTTTTGTTTTTTTAATATGTGGAGCACCTGTGGGAGTCGTGTGGCACTGTCCAGGTAGACACCATCACCTGGAGTTCAGTCTTTTTTTTTTTAAGATTTATTTATTTATGTATACAAGAGCTGGGGTACAGGCCAGAGATACGGGGGGTGAGAGGATTCACCAGAGACAGAGCGGGGAACAGAACAGGCAGACTGACTGAAATACACTGAGGGGAGCAGTGGGCGAGACAGGAGAGGTCTGCTGTGCCATGTGGGTTGCTCCCTGGCTGGCCGGACTGCTTCATAGTGTGGTGCTTAACCCCTTGCGCCACCAGGAGGCCCAAGCTGTGTGTTTTGTTATGCAGACCTCACAAAGACAAAGTCCCCAGACAGTCTGGTATATCCCCAAAACTGCCAGAAAACCAGTGAGCAGAGTCCTGGGAAGCCATGACAGAGAGTTTGGATCTTAGCGCAGTTGGTAAGTTATTTAAGGATTTTAAACAAAGAAACATGTTATTTAATAGGGTTTTGAGATGAACTTTTTAGTATGGAACAATCTTAAAGTTACCTCAAAGTTGCAAAGATAGTACAGTCTCTCACACCCTTTACTGGGCTGCCCCTAATGCTAACATCTTAGATAACCTTTATAAAAACTACAGACAGGATTTCACCGGTTTTCCCTCTCATGTCCTTTTTCTGCCCCAATACAGTGTAGGATGTCACATCACACCAGGTG